CCGGGAAGGGGCTTTCCCGGGAGCTGCGGTTGGCGTAGGGAAAATTCCCGATGCCTGAGCAGCTGCTTGGCACTCCGAAGTGGAAGCGAGTCCATCGTTAGGGCTCCCAGAGCCCCTCGGTGCTCTGATGTGGCGCCTGGCGAGATCTTGGCAGTGGGTTTAACGCCTGGTGTCCTCTGAGATAACCAGTGAAGGGACAAGAGCAGCCCCAGCAGGGTGAGGGGGAAGATTTGCCTTGTCCTCTGCATTGCATCCTTTCCATGGGAGCGGGATTGGAGCCTGTACCTGCCTTGAGGGGTCTTCTTGTTGCAGGTGAGATGCTGAATGTGGTTTCTTCCCACAGGTCAGCAGATCAGGAAGCTGATTAAGGATGGGCTGATCATCCGCAAGCCTGTGACCATTCACTCCCGTGCCCGGTGCAGGAAGAACACCTTGGCCCGCCGCAAGGGCAGGCACATGGGCATCGGTGAGAGCTGCCTCCCAAAAATGCCCCTTTTCTGTCATACGTGGCCCACCAGCAGCGTTACGTTGAGCAACGGTCTCCCAGAGTCTTGTGGCAAAGCCTAAAACTACAGTTTGTGTGGTAGTGGCTTTCTTCTTGCAGTGAAGAGAAGAATTAAACACTCCAGCAGAGCGTGGTGTTCAACCTGCAGGAGTTTGGTTTCGTTCTCATCCTGTTTTCCCTCTCTAGGTAAGAGAAAGGGGACGGCCAACGCTCGTATGCCCGAGAAGGTGACCTGGATGAGGAGGATGAGAATCCTGAGGCGCCTGCTCCGCAGATACAGGGAGTCCAAGAAGATTGACCGCCACATGTAAGCCTGTCACCCCTGCCCGGGCAGCCTGGGCCAGGCCTGGACAACTCTGCCTACCTGAGCTCTAGACCCTTCCCCAGCAGCTTCGTTGCCCTTCTCTGGCCACACTCCAGCCCCTCAAGGTCCTGCTGGGAGGGAGCGGCCCAAAACTGACCCCAGGATTCAACATGTGGCCTCCTCAGTGCCAAGTCCCAGGGGATGATCCCTGCCCTAGTCCTGCTGGTCCAAGCCAGGATGCTGGTGGCTTCTTGGCCAGCTATCAACCAACACCCCCAGGTCCTTTTCCACCCCCTCCTGCCCAAGCCTGCAGCGTTTGGCAGGAGCTTCAGGAGGGGTTGTGTCAGTCCTGGGTGTTTGATCCCTGGGCAGCCTCAGCCACAGCCCGTTCCATGCTGCTCCATTAGGTACCACAGCCTGTACCTGAAGGTCAAGGGCAACGTGTTCAAGAACAAGAGGATCCTGATGGAGCACATCCACAAGCTCAAGGCCGACAAAGCTCGCAAGAAGCTCCTGGCGTAAGTGCTGCCCCCCTGTCCAGCCCCCTCCTCCTGGGCCAGGGGGTTGATTTTCTTCAAATAACTGCAGGGGGGGAATTGCAGGTGGCTCCTGTCACTGGTGGCTCTGTCTGGAGCCCCGGGGAGGAGCCCGGGCCCGG